TCAAGTCATAGCATGTGGTTATACGGTGCCTTTTCTTCTCCACCTGGGTCTAGCCAGCACCCTAAAGCTACTGTGGCTCCATTGCAAGAATCAAACTCTTTGTTACCTTCTTGGCATTGCATGGATTTTTGATGCCGTGCTAACGTTCCCTGTAGTTTGTTAAAATTGCACTACAACATTATCCTATCAGGTTCCTTGTTTTCTCTCATGTTTCTTTTTCATAGTGGTGAAAAATATAAACAACAACAAAAACTCTGAACAACTTGCTACCATCTACAGGTATGATGAAGCCACAACTATTTACAACAGCCAGAAAGCATGAAGTATTCTGGCACTTTCACTTAAGAAGGGAGGTGAAAGGAAATGGGAGTTAGAACAATGGGGAACCACCCATCTGATAGAAAACATGGCAACACAATCTTTCTTGCATTTCTCAGACCAGGAATAGATCTGATTAAATTCTGCAATCAATTAATTCAATGTTCAGAAGCTACCAAAAACTCCACAAATTAACTTTGCTACTATGTGCAGAAGGATCATTAGATTCTGAGGGTTTTTTTAAAAAAAATTCCTTTAGAGATACTGCAATCAGCCAATTATTTCCCACAATAATTAAATGGTTATGAACCTGAGAGTTGTACTCTTGGACTCATGCTTCCTAATGACTGGCATTCAGAGACATGTGCCTTAGATTCTACAAGAAACTCAACCACTGGGTTTGATCCAAGAACTTTTGCTTTCCTACCAATCCTAACTCAGAGGTTATTGTGGAAAGGAAAAAAAATCAACAAGTGTTATGATGGGTATTTTGAACTTCTGGACGGAAACTAAAATATATATCCCATAAATAAATAATATGTAATAACATTGTGTAGTAATTTGGATTTGTAGGGAGAAATTTGCTTCACTAGATTTTTTTTTTTTTTTTTTTTTGGGAGATAATGGTGACATCTCAGATACAATACACAAAATTGCAAGTGTGCTGGTACCACAGAGTTGCATAAAGACATTAAGATTTTGACAGTTTTATTTTTAATGTTTTGAGGAAAAAAATTTTCAGCAGCCTGAGATTCCTGCTTTCTCACTGCCAATCAGACTGCATCATCATATAATGTATATGCAATTATATGTTTCCCCGATATATCACCTTTCCACTTGTTTCCACTGAATTACATTTATTTACTATTTTAATGCCAAATTCTCAGGTTTTATTCCCATTTTATTTTAACTATCCCAAATCATCTTATCAGAAAAGTTTGTCAATTTTCAGTTCATTTATGTGTAATTTGAAAAGCATCAACTCTAGTACAAATCCTTGGGGAATATTAAATCCTTTCAATACAAAAAGCTTTCTGCTTTCTATTCTGTAATCCTTTCTATGAAATTCACAGGGCTTCCCTTCATACACTATGTAAAATGCCATGAATGTATTTGGGAGATGCTTAGGGTTGACATTTTAGATAGTATTCACTTCTTCCATTTCAAATCTATTTATGGCTAAATTGTTTTCTCTAAACAGATTAGAATTGCAATTCCAATTTAAATTAATAAATAAGCAGAACACTCAAGCCAGAATTCATAGAAGCACAATATAGAATGGGATCTCAAAGCTGGGAAATGGAAACCAAGTCCCAAAGGCACATTTTGACCTCCCAAGTATTGCTGGTAATTACTCTGCACAGAATGGGGAAATACTATTATATTTTAGACCAACAGCTGAACTTTAGAGGAAGAGCATCTGGACACTCCTTAGTGGAAAACATTAATGCTAGATTCACAAAGTCATTTTAAAGCTTTCTTTTCCTTAGAGGCTGTTTTTCAGAGACTATTTTCCATGAAACTCTTAAAGGGATTGTAATCTTGGCATTCTACTTTATCTGCAGGATATATGCAAGGTATGTGCACGCCGCAAAGCCACATTTTTAAAAAACTTGGTGCAGGGAGGTTTACTGAATCAAGATTTTTTTAAACACTAAATTTCATACTAAAGTGGTAGATACAGGGCCATTAATTGCATTAATAATATGCTAATTTGCAAAATATAAATATCAACAGCAGAGAAGCATGGGCACCAATAGAGCTATATGAAAGGGGACAGAATGTTGAACATATTCATACTGTCTTGTGCTCCATAAAAAATGTCTCTCAAAAGCTATGATTTGTACTGGAATATTGTTCAATATGTTCTTTATTTTTTAAAAATAATCCATTCAGTTATGTCTGATTCTTGGAAACTGCCTTGACAAATTCCTGCAGTTTTCTCAGCAAGATTTTTCAGAAGTGGTTTGCCATTGCCTCCTTGTTAGGGCTGAGGAAAATGGCCCAAGGAGACCAGTTGGCTTTGCATTTAAGATAGAATCAGAACTCATAGTCTAGCACTTTCTAGCCTAAATTAAGTTTGTTTGTTTGTTTATCAAATAGAGAATGCACAACTCATTCACAGAGCAACTGATGACTTAACACAGAATTAGATGATGCAGTAAAAGTGCTACATTCAATTTGCCAGCAAATTTGGAAAACTCAACAGTGGCCACAGGATTGGAAAAGGTCAGTTTACATTCCAATTCCAAAGAAAGACAATGTCAAAGAATGTTCAAACTATCGCACCATTGCACTCATTTCACATGCAAGTAAAATTATCCTTAAAATCCTACAAGCTAGACTCCAGCAGTATGTGGATCAAGAACATCCAGAAGTTCAGGCAGGATTTCAAAGAGGCAGAGGAACTAGAGATCAAATTTCCAACATACTCTGGATCATGGAGAAAGTTAGGGAGTTCCAGAAAAACATCTACTTCTGCTTCATTGACTATGCTAAAGCCTTTGATTGTGTGGATCACAACAAATTGTGGCAAGTTCTTAAAGAGATGGGAGTACCAGACCATCTTATTTGCCTCTTGAGAAATCTATATGCGGGTCAAGAAGCAACAGTGAGAATTAGACACAGAACCACTGATTGGTTCAAAATTGGGAAAGGAGGCTGTATTCTGTTGCCCTGCCTATTTAACTTCTATGCAGAGCACATCATGACAAAGGCAGGGCTAGAAGAATCAAAAGTTGGAGTTAAGATTGCCAGGAGAAATGTCAACAATCTAAGATATGCAGATGATACCACTCTAATGGCAGAAAGTAAAGAGGAACTAAAGAGCCTCTTGATGCGGGTGAAGAAGAAGAGTGCGAACGTTGGCTTGAAACTCAACATTAAGAAAACCAAGATCATGGCATCTGACCCTCTCAATTCCTGGCAAATAGATGGGGAAGAAATGGAGGTAGTGGCAAATTTTATCTTCCTGGGCTCCAAGATCACCACAGATGGGGACTGCAGCCAAGAAATTAAAAGACACTTGCTCCTGGGGAGGAAAGCTATGGCAAATCTAGACAGCATACTAAAAAGCAGAGACAAAATGCCAACAAAAGTACGTATAGTCAAGCCATGGTTTTCCCAGTTGCAATGTATGGCTGTGAAAGTTGGACCATAAGAAAGGCTGAGTGCCAAAGAATTGAGGCCTTTGAACTATGACGCTGGAGAAGAAATGAAATTCAATGGTGAAAAAAGCAAGGTTCTACATTTAGGCAAGAAAAACCAAATGCACAAGGACAGCATAGGTGGCACCATGCTCAATAGTAGTAACTGTGAGAGGGACCTCGGAGTCCTAGTAGACAATCACTTAAATATGAGCCAGCAGTGTGCTGCAGCTGCCAAAAAGGCCAACACAGTGCTAAGCTGCATTAACAGAGGGATAGAATCAAGATCATGTGAAGTATTAATGTCACTCTACAATGCCTTGGTAAGGCCACACTTGGAATACTGCATCCAGTTTTGGTCACCACGATGTAAAAAAGATGTTGAGACTCTAGAAAGAGTACAGAGAAGAGCAACAAAGATGATTATGGGACTGGAGGCTAAAACATATAAGGAACGGTTGCGAGAATTGGGTATGTCTAGTTTAACGAAGAGAAGGACAAGGGGGGACATGATAGCAGTATTCCAATATCTCAGGGGCTGCCATAAAGAAGAGGGAATTAAGCTATTTTCCAAAGCACCTGAAGGCAGGACAAGAAGCAACGGGTGGAAACTAATCAAGGAGAGAAGCAACCTAGAACTATGGAGAAACTTCCTGACAGTGAGAACAATTAATCAGTGGAACAGCTTGCCTCCAGAAGCAGTAAATGCTCCAACACTGGAAGTTTTTAAGAAGATACTGGACAGCCATTTGTCCGAAATGGTGTAGGGTTTCCTGCCCGAGCAGGGGGTTGGACTAGATGACCTCCAAGGTCCCTTCCAACTTTATTACTACTACTACTACTACTACTACTACTACTATTATTATTATTATTATTATTATTATTATTATTATTATTATTACTATTATTATTATTACTCCTGCGAGTCCCCTGAATTGCAAGGTGATCAAACCGGTCAGTCCTAGAGGAGTGACTGCTCTTTAGAAGGCCAGATCCTGAAGTTGAAACTCAAGTACTTTGGCCACTAATGAGAAGTAAGGACTCACTGGAGAAGAGCCTAATGCTGGGAAAGATTGAGGGCAATAGAAGAAGGGGACGACAGAGAATGAGGTGGCTGGATGGAGTCACTGAAGCAGTAGGAGTGAGCTTAAATGAACTCCAGAAGATGGTAGAGGACAGGAAGGCCTGGAGGAACATTGTCCATGGGGTTGCGATGGGTCAGACATTACTTCGCAACTAACAATAACAACAACATAATTCGTCATGCTTTTCACATTTTTTATGAATTTGGGGCGTATATGATAGGTTCAGATCACATAACAAACTTCACTGCTTTTCTCTTTTCTGCAGTGATCAGTAAAGTTTAAAGGATTGCATATATTATCTCATTTTTATTACCCAAACCTATGCTATCAATAGTTGGTGCTGACATTTCTGACTAATATTTAAAGCAAGCTTCTATATAGGCATGAGAAGCTCTACTAAGAGGTCATACACCTATTTTGATTTTTGCTTTTGAAAAACCTGCCCCAAGAGTAGCCCCCTAATGTTGGTTTTGCTCTTTCAGCCAATATGCCATTGTTGCTATAGTCCTCAGAGGCTGATAATTCTCTCAGTGTTCCAAAATAAACCTGAAAGGGAAACAATGACTTGTAGCAATAGCTGAAAGGAAATTACCCAGCTGAAGTCTTCGCCATTTGAATAAAGGCCTCCAATTCATAAGTTTCACCAAACATTCCAGAGGCCCAGCATGTTTGTATATATTTTTCCATGTTCCAAAACAAATTTCTATCGAAAGCAGTGAGCTAAAATAACCAGTTATAGTCATTACTGGCATAAAATCCAGAACCGCAGAAGACGCCCTGCCTGGATCCCTAAATGGCATCAGTGTGTCAGGTTTGTGTAACAAACCATTCTACAAACATCAGCAACCACCATAGCCGTCAGCTCAGCTTCATTCCTGGACACGGTGTATCTGGCTCTCAATGTTTATATGTTGCCTTCAAACCAGTTCCCTGTCTCTCCTCATTGCCCTGAGTTTTGCTCAGCAATTGCCTAGCTTGGGCAGTATTTGGGAAAGACTGGTTTAGATCTTTATATTTAGCTCTCCGAGTTGACCACTTTCACTTGATAAAAGATTAGATTTGTGTTCATTTTGTCCATATAAAATTCTTTCCTGGGCAGATTCTTAGTTAGAAGATTTCTAAAGCTAATTGTTCTTCTCACCGATGTGTTTTAAAAAAACCAAAAACTTGTATTTCCATTTCTTCTTGTGATACTGATTTGAAAATTGGCAGGTCCCTTTCATTAAAATCCACTAGTGCTCTGGCTAAAGGCTACCTCTTCTTCGCCTTCCTGGGGTACTTTTGAAACAAAGTATTGCCATAGCAACAGCTGCTGCTGCTCCCTAGATAAGGCGTGCAGGAGAACTCATTGCCAGCAGAGGAGAAAGTTCCTGCTCCAGTGAACACCGAATCCCTATCACACCTACCCCAGCACCCCGGCTGGTAAGTTGTTCAGCTCTCTCAATGGGTGAGATGGAGGGGGGGGGGGAAATGATTAATACAATCTTCCTAAAGAAGTTAAATAACTACCTGCCAACTCTGTGATAGTAATAAAAGTCACAGATCACTTCCTCTGTCAGGAAGATTTTAAAATGCTCTGTCAAATGAATCTACTTTGGAAAAGTTGAAACTTGTGAGCTGACAGCTTTGAACTGAGACAGAAGGTTAGAAGCCAGTCCCATATACATGCAGGCACGCTTACATATACTCAGAGAGTTAGTATTTGAGTGATATGTTTAGCCTGATCATTATTCACATAGAGGTGAGTAATTTTGAATGGTACAATTTAATTCTGAATATATTTCAGTTCATCTTAATCACATGCAAGGGAATCCATACCATTTTTATAGTATTAATGTGCTATTTAAGTTTTGAATATATAGTGTTAAGCCAGCTGAATGGTAAGAATTAACCAGAATAAAAGTCAGATTCCAAAAGGATTTAGTATTTGAAAGCTTTTGTGTATATCACATTGGTTCATTAGGTGCATTATATGTTACATACTACAAGGAGAAGCCTATAAGGATGACTGTTTTTTATAAAAAAAACTTTTCTTCTTTCAGTTTCTTGAAAAAGATTTGCTTTTAGAAAATATTTCACTCAGTTTCTTCAATTCATGTTAGTGTGTAATCCATGCTATTTAAATTTCTGTTAAGAATAAAAACAGCATGAAACCTTTGAATATATCCTGCTCTAATGACAGTTTATAGAGTTTAATTTAATGTTTCCTTAAGGGAAATGTTGCAATAAGCTTCTTATTCGAGAAAAGATATTAATTTATATTGAAAATTAAATATCTCAATTCCTCCCAAATTTCTTTAACAATCTAATGTCTTTGTATTTTCCATGTGCTCATTAACTCTGAAAAAGTTGCCATTAATTTTTAAATTATTTACAAGAAAATTATTTTCCTAAAAGTCAGGGAGCCATTTATCTTAACATCATAATGATCATAATCTTAGAGATGGAATAGCATCTTAGAATATAGAAGTTTGTCATCTTTTCAATTAATTCTGAGAGTCTACCTACCAATATGGGCAATCTTGCTATCCAAACTTGAGGTATGTATCTGGCATCTTCCATATCAGATGTCAAACTGCATAAAATTTGCTTTACGAAATCTTGGTCATATAACCAGTTTCAGAAAAATACATAGAGATAGGTTAGGCATGTCACCATGAGGTGACCAAAATCTAAGAGCCTGGGAATATGACAGTATTTTAAGGTTTGCTATCCTTAAAAGAATTGGATCCAAAATAAAATCAATTTTTGCTCTTCTCCAGTGAAAAAATATTAGTGTGGAGTTTAGACATTGTTGATAGGGATATTCATTTATTTGTAGTACATGAATGAGGGCACTGTCCATTGAATAGCACTTTCCTACCTTATTAAGAGTTATACTTCATAAACCCAAGGAATACCTAGCATTTAGAATCCTTTGCCCTGATATAATGTCCTTCAGAGGGTTGAAGTGTCGGCTCTAAACCTCCTTTCTAGGTCTTATTTCGCAACCTTTTTTCTTACTAACCTCATCTATATCACAGTCTGCTTAAATATTTGTATGAGTGAGAGTAAATTATTGGCTATAAGGATGATGAGGATTCAGGTATTAATGTTACATAAAACAGTTTTTATTGAATAGTTTATAACAGATCCTCTGATTAGTTTGTTGTATGATTGTTAAAAGGCATTCTGAAATACACATTATTTTGAAAAATTATAATGGCTTTATATAATCCAGTTGCCTTTAACAGGAGCATTGAGGTTCTACAGAGAAGGGCATTTATAAGAAACCTTCAAAATGAATGTGGTAAGAAGCCACATGGAAGGATAAGGCTACCGCTACATGAGCCATGTGTTTGATTTTGTAACCCAGAAGCCTTTTTGTAGATATTGTATATTTTCCACTGAAATTTCATAGTGAATTCTTTAAAAAATATATCATTTCCGAAATCCAAATCCTATGATATATATCAGATTACATATAGAAATGTATAAATGTCTATTATAGGTTCACAATCTAGCTTACAATTCAATCCATTGATTACTTTGGATACATACAAAAATGACTTTAAAATCCCATTCCCATGATCACATGAGTCAAAATACACTCGCATACCCACAGACATATACCTACACACAAACTTACATATTTTGTTTCATAATCTGCAAATCAGTGACAAAAATATAGGCAATGTGCAGTTTATAAATCACATGTTAGAATTTGGAGTTTCTAATACCCCTGCCCATTTTTTCCTATCGCCCACCTGATCAAACAGCTGGACATGAGAGAGCAGATGCTGTTTTCTATTGTTAATAGCAGTTGGAAAATAATAATTTTGATTAAAAAAAACTAGAGAGGAGAGAGGGCTTTATGTTTCTCCAGCAACCTTATTCAAGGCTGTTAACCCTTTCCTCTCTTTCCAGCAATCCTTATCAATCCTTATTTCCCAGTTGCTAAACGTATAGAATAATAGCTATCTTGGGAAAAATCTCTGGAAAAAGGAATAAGATTAAAAAAATTCCATTCCCTCAATAATTATGTGTGGTTGTTTTATGATACAAGGTGATTTTTCTCTGTGTGAACTGGGAAATGTGATAAGTATATGCAAATGAAATAGAGCAAGTGAGCAGGTTTCTGTGCAGACTGTGAAGTGTTCCACCTACTGACCCCAAACACTTCTATGGCCCCAGAGCCAAAAGTGCTACTCATTTTTTGCATATCAAAAATAAATTCCTGTAAAGTTACTGAATCTTCCAATAATTTTCTCCGAGGCTTTTAATAACAATCTTGAAGAACTTGTAAGCCACCCAGTGTTTGGTTTTAAGATGGACAATTGTATAATTAAAAAACTTTGTGGAGTTTGCCAGGAAGAATTGCCAGTTCAAAGGAATAAATGATCAGTGTTAAAAGCAGGCATAAATGTGAATAGATTTTTAACTCCAAGAATCATAGTTTGCTCTTTGGACACCCTGCTGCTTGCCTTTTATCTTGGAGACCTCTAGGCTTACAATGCAGATGAAAGCTGGTGCATATGTATCACAGGCCATGAACTCTATAAAATATGCATGGCTACCGTTTATGAAGCTATGGCGCCTCAACAACAGAGGGAAAATATTCCCTGCAGCTATGCAAAAAGCAATAAATATTGTTTCATGGTACCCTAGCAGATCAATGATAATTTACTGTCACCAGGAAAACCCTTCAGTAGGATTATCATTTGCTCGCATGCTTTGGAAGATTCATACAATCATCCTAGAGGGATATGGATGTGGTTAGAATTTTGCTGAGAACCTATTAAAAAGAAAGCGTAAGAAAATAAGAATAAGAGATGAAAAGTAAACTACAATAGAGTGAGCTTGACATTCTCCCAGATCTAGAGTTTACAAAAGATATACACATCATTGGATTAAATGCACATCCGTATACCTATTCATCTACACATTAATGTTTTAGGACAAAAAAACCCCAAAGGTAAATCTGTTTTAAAGACTGGAAGGTGAGCAGAGGCTGAATATGAGCCACAATATGCTGGTACTAGTACTGTAAATTTGCAGAATGGCTTTCTGCTCAGAAATATATTCTGAGCATATATGTTTACAGATTTAATTTCATTTTTTTACTACACCCTTCAGCCAAGAGACCCAAAGTAATATAACTCCTATCAGTTTTTTGTGCCTTCCAATCCAAGGTACTGTTGGAAATAAAATATATAAAAGGGTTTATGATTTTGTCTATCCATTGGTAGGATTAATCTTTTAAAACAGAACAGATGAGACCAGTTTGGAGAAGATGGGTTGTATTTACTGCTCTAACATAAAGCAAATAAGCAGCCTATGATTCAAATTCTATGCTCAACAGTAAGTAAAATAAATTTCAAATAAAGCTTGGTTCCCGGTGATTTCATGGACATGTTCATGTCATTTTCTGGTTTGCTGTTGTCTCCTTCTGTCATTTTCCCATGTCAACTGTATTTTTGGATTCCCTGGTTGGTCTCCCATTCCAGTTCCAACCAGGCTTTGGAGATCATCCAAGATCAGGTAAGTGTTTCTGTGAAATGCCAAATTTGTGAGAGTATGGCACAAAATTTCAGAGCTAATTTGGCTAAGCCAAGAGATTGCTTCGAATTTAGGGAGTCATGAAACAATAGCAGGTTGTTAATTATTATATTTATTATTGTATTTTAGTTACAAGGGAAGTAAAGAGGTGCCTCTGGTACTTTTGGCCTCAGATGACAAAATAACTTGGGTATGTATGGGGAGGGAAGCTATTTATTGCTGCCTTCAAGCATCAAAAAGCTTTAAGACATTTCTCTCTATTTTCAAAACTGATTTTCTTTTACAAACAAAAACATTTCCTGGAAACACTGGAAAACATAAGGATAAATGTAAGATTAAACTTGGCTATTATGTTAATAAAACCAGGGCAATTTTCAGAAGTATTTCTTCTTTCCTTATAGTAAGGATGGAATGTTGGCATGAAAAGGTGCTCAAAATATGATTGGATTATGTATATATGTAAGTGTATGCATGCATGCAAAGGAAAGAGACAGGAGGAAGAATGAGATTGAAGAATTAGGATGAATCTACATAATCAGTAATCCATGAAACTAAATGTAATCCACCAGCTTTAGATAGCTATTGGATTCATCTTTTTTTGTTTGCTTTTGTTCTTGCAGCCCATGATGGGCTGAATGTGAGGCAGCTTGCCAAGAAGCCAGGTAGCCATTAAATGTGACTGGTTGGCAACATTAAATTTATGGAGCCATACATCACGGCCCATAAACCAATATCAGGGAACATTTTTAAATTCCATAAAATGTTAGGGGCTCCTCAAGATTTCTACCTCTGCTAAAGCATCCCACATTTTACTGAAACAATATAATTATTTTTACATTGACAGATTTCTATTGGTTGGGGATTTACAAAATACTACTTTGTAGTTGAATTAAAATGTATTTTTATGTATGTACACAGATATGCATGTATGTAGGGGTGGTGATGGGAAGGCATGAGATGAAATGTTTTTAAACTGGATCAGAAGAACAGTATGGGCATGGGATATGTGTTATCTAACCACCTGCACATCATGTCTGACCTCGTTTCTGAATTTTTTGCAGAAAACCTTCTTCAGTGATGTCGACTGAATATGTAGAGACATCACATGATAAGTCTGAAGACAGATTGGATGGGCAAGAGACTTGCTGTAACCAGTTGGGTCAGTTTTAGGGAGATGATGTCATTATCTGTGGCTATTAGAGAAAAGGTCTTTGCATTATGAAGTCTGGCCCATTGACACTCTTTCCCTTTAGTGTCCCCCATCCCCACTTTATCCCTTCCCCCCAAGTAGAACAACTGCTTCTCATGAAACCTGATAGACTGCACCTTCTGGTGACATATCAGATGCCAGATGGAGAGGCAATAGATAGAGCTCTTTCTTTCTTTTCTTTTCTTTCTTTCTTTCTTTCTTTCTTTCTTTCTTTCTTTCTTTCTTTCTTTCTTTCTTTCTCTCTCTCTCTCTCTCTCTTTCTTTCTTTCTTTCTTTCTCCCTCCCTCCCTCCCTCCCTCCCTCCCTCCCTCCCTTCCTTCCTTCCTTCCTTCCTTCCTTCCTTCCTTCCTTCATTTTAGCCAACATACAACAAAAAGGGAATAAAAAACTGAGATTTATTTTTTTTGTTTAACACAGTCATGTATATATTTCCCCCACACAAGCTTTTCTTAGATGATTTTATAAGCAATGTGGTCAAAGAGAAATCTAAATTTTACTGTGAATATTTTGGGAGTGAGGAGATGTTTCTTTCAAAACCATTGCCTTAGAGAGCTACATTATCCTTTCTGCTGCTTCAGTAGGCATATTTAGATTTTCCTAACTTCTCAAAACTCGTATTTGCTCATGTTTCAGAATCTCACTTTACCTCAGTTCAATGATCTGAGTTTACCAATCAGACACAAATGTTTGCTAAATGTGTCCCAGCAAGCCACATGGTAGCAAAAAGATTTCACTGACCCACAAAAATCAAGATTGCCTACTTTTGGCCTGTTATTCAAACACATCTGAGACTCATTCCATGTTGCCTTTGGCTTTTGACACTATGCAGTGATTCATATAATAATTAGCTTGTGAGAGGAAAAATGGTGACATGGTTTTCTTCCAACAAACCAAAATTGCACCTATAAGAAGAGTATTTTCCTAGTATTTTTCTTTGGCATTTGGAAGTGTTCCGAATATCTCCTTTCCTCCAACTTAACTTTCTAAGGAATCCTTGGCTATCGTTGTACTAAACTTTTAAAAAGTATTTTCAGGACCTTGTTAACCTAATGATTAAGTTCCTGATAACCAAATTTGACGTTAATGTGACAACAACCCACAGATGATCTTTCTGAGCAGCTGCTCAAAAGTTGTGAACTCAAGAGGATACCAAAAAAAGTGAAGACTCATCAAATCTCTCAGAAAAATGATCTTGAACAGAGAAAACCAAAGAGAAAAGACACACCAGCAATAAATACTCCTCCACCAATAGCAGGTTAGTATTGTTGATTATTGCCATTGATACCTGCATGGAATTCAAACTGAATAACACCATATCTTTTACTGGCAATTCCCTAACTTTAATGTATTACATGTAATATATTGTATGTAATATATGTCAATCATATTATGTGCCATCAAGTCATCTTTTTTTTACTAATGACAGAAGTCTGGTTCAAATATTTTCTAAAGAAGATTCAGCAGCCATTAGTAAAGGAATGGGATTGCCTGCTTCAGTTACATGTTGTATTAAAGTGAAAATGAACACCATCCTTTGTTTAGCTGAGAATCTTAATAAAATAGATCATGTACTGTCTCTGGGAAGACAGAGAATGCTGATGTAGAAAGCAGAGTACATGTTAACATTGTAGATAGGCTACCTTGGATGCTGTAGTAGAGGGGGGCAGTTGCTATAATAAGTTGTTATGGTATTGTGTACCTCAAAAGTACCTATTTTTCCAAACAGTATACTAATTTCTTATCATACTTCTCTCTTGATCCTTCCAAGTCTCTGGCAGTACCTTGCATTTCAATTTTCGGCTTTTATATTTAGACTGCACAATTTATGCAACTGCTAGATGCCCACAAATTCATGCAGAGTTTTTTATATCTCTTTCTGTGTGATTATCTCAGATTTTTGGTCCAAACATGGTAGCTCTACTTAACATTGGATTTTAATATTCATTATGATTATTTTTGAAGTGGGAGTAGAAATTACTATTATCTCAATATAATTCGATACAACTGTAGCTAGTTACAACTGAAATTGTCCTATTGGTTTTTAAAGGCTTGATATTAGGTCAAGATGTTTTCAAAATGAAACCTATAGTCAATATTGACCTCAGATCCCCATTAATAATAACAACAAAACCTGGGAAATTCCACTGCCAGTTTAGATCTTACAGGGTATTTATTGGATGTGTGCCCATCTTCTGCTCAATGTTTTTGGAGGAAACTGATATTTTTCTATTTTAAACACTTTAAATGCTTTATATGCCACAATTTTTTAGAACGTGATGTAGACGAATGGACATCATATTGGATATTCAGATAATAAAGAAGCTTTGCTATATCTGAGAACATGAAAATAGAAGAGGAAGCAATGAGGCATATGCATTCCCCTAATTTCAGTGAACATTAACCTTAAAATTATTTAGATTTTAAATATGCTAAAAAGAAAGTCATCTAGCTTAGTATCAAAAATCCTGTTTGTGATTTAAAGCATTAGTAGTTATATCTGGGAATTCTGGAATTCATAATAAAAATCTATCTGGAAAGATCTAATCTGGAAAAATATAATAGACTAATTGCATTTCCCAGATCAAAACAAAATATCTTATTTATTAAGCAGGTTTAACCCAATATGCATGAGTCCATGTATGCATAAAAGATGAACTACAGTGTCTTGTTGCTACTATTTATTATATTTCTGCAGATATTCTTTCAGAACATTTATTTATGAGGTATGACCTCTCTGAGAAATCACCAAAAAATAATGTTAAAAAACCAGAGCAAGATCAGAAAAAAACCAGAAGAAAAAATACTCCTGCCATAAACACACCTCCTCTATTTGCAGGTAAAGCAAATCTAAACAAGAAGAGTCAACAGATTTAAAGTAGCACTCTATAACTCGTGAACAAAGCATTTGCATAAAGGATCTAGATTTGTTTTTCTGTTTCCTTTTTAAAGAGGGGCATTCAAGTCTACAAGTACTTGAAAGTGTTGGTTTCAGAAGCTTCTATAGCAGTCATGTCCGCGGCCTATCAGCCATGTGCCCTAGACATGGGCTAGTGATGAAGCCACAGAAGGTTTATAAGAGCCTCTCTCTGAGGGAGATGGGTGGTTAAGAAGTGTGAAATGTAAATAAATAAATAAAAATAAAACCTTGTTATTTATATACTTAATTATATTGTCCCTAATTACTTTAAAAATACAAATCTCGGGTATGTTCATATTAACAGTAGAAAGACAACGACCTGCAGGATAAATTTAAAAAAACAACTGTTTATTAGCTAAGCTTTCGTCGGTCTCCTGCTGACATCATCAGAGTAAAAAACCAGAGATTTGAAAGTCTGCCTATAAATCTGACTATTTTAGCGCTCTGCTCATCAAGTGCGTCACCAGTCTACCGGCCCTGGTCGGTCATATTCTCTCTAGTCTCATTGCAGGCTGATGCAATGCGACTAGAGAGAATACGACCGACCGGGGCAGGTAGACCGGTGATGCACTCGATGAGCAGAGCACTGAAACAGTCAGCTTTATAAGCAGACTTTCAAATCTCTGGTTTTTTACTCTGATGACATTGGCAGGGGACTGACGAAAGCTTAGCTAATAAACAGTTGTTTTTTACATTTATCCTGGAGGTCGTTGTCTTTCTATTGTTAATATTAATTATATTATATATTTTATATGTGGCCCAAAACAATTCCTCTTCACTCAGTGCAACCCAGGTAAGCCCAAAAAAAAATTGGACACCCATTTTTATAGCTTCCCATTAGCCAGGTTTGTTGGAGACTGCAGCAACACATCTCAGCAGGAAAGTTGGTCAGTGTTCATCCACTGGCACACACGCGCAAACTTCTTTTTTCCTTCCTTGCTCCATTAATGCACAGCTTTCAATCAGTCTCACCCTGTAATGTATAGTATCACATAATGTGCCCTATAACATATTAACATAGCTGTTTCAGGCTTCACAATCCTTTCTGTATATGTTTTCCAGCAAGCTCTTCCCTCTCTAGCTCAGAAACAAAGGGGCTATTCATTAATAGTCTATTAAACTGAAAACTTAATTTTCTTATTAACACACTTTTTTCTCTTTCTTCTTTTTAACTAAAATTAAACACACTTAATTTTCTTATTAACACGCTTCAGTGCTGCACAAGGCACAATAAGTTAACCCACTAATTTAAAAGCCACACTAGGAGAAAACGAAAGGTTTTGAATATGGGTAACCCTATTTTCATTCAGTTTTTGTGTTACACTGGAGTAGCAAATGTGTTGGGTAAAAAATAGCACCTGGTGTCATGCTTTCTACCAAAGACATTGCCCTTGTCAGAGCCGGACAAAATCCCCCACTCTTTTTTCCCCTCAACATTTTAGTTCTTAGTTAAAAAGAAGAAAGAGAAAAAAAATTCTCAACTACAGGTGACGCTCGACTTATGAGCATAACTGGGCCCAGAATTTCCGTTGCTAGAAGGAGGTTGTTAAGTGAGTCATGCCTGCCTTTATGACCAGCTTACTAGAACATTAGACTCATCTGCCTAATATTTCCCATGGAGAGGTATCTACTACCATCACACTAATATTTCTTTGTTCACTTTTGACATGTATGCTGGTGCAAGATTCAGATTCATTGCAAGTAAGTCAGATACAAAATGCTGTAGCTGAACCAGCATTTGTTTTGCAGTATTCTGGTGGTGGTGCAGAGGTGAGAATGCAGTATTGCAGGCTAATTCAGTTCACTGCCAGGAATTCGATCCTCACTGGCTAAGGTTGACTCAGCCTTCCATCCTTCCATGGTCGGTAAATAAGGATCCAAATTATTGGGGGCAATATGCTGACTCTATAAACCCTTAGAGAGAGCCATCTTTGGGTGGCTCCAATTAAAAATTGTGTTAATAATAACATCTTAAACTATAAAGTGAAACTTCTTAAAATATTAAAGCAACAAAACGTGGTGCCAAATCAAATTTCTAATATGCAGTTATCTAATCTCCTCCTAGTGCTTGGGGAGAAAGCCAAGTGTTCAAAGCCTTAAAGAAGTAGAAGTCTGCTGAACTTCAGGGCTATCAGTTAGCAATATTTAGGGAAAGGGACTAGGTGGTTATGCACTCTAGAATGGATAGATGTCCTTATAGAAAGGCAACAGCCTGGTCCTATGTCATATTTTTAAAAGTTTAAGACACAAAATCAGCAACAGCAGCTGTCCTAGAACAGGGATTCTCAATCTCAAGTTTTGCTGGCTGAGGAATTCTGGGAGTTGAAGTCCACAAGTCTTAAAGTTGCCAGGGTTGAGAACCCCTGTCCTAGAATGATAGATGATGGCACTGATTCTATATGCTATGAAGAGATGCTGCAAGTTGGTTTAGAAATTAATATAGAAATTTGATATGAAAAAGAGGATAAGCTATATTTACATTGAACAAATTCTGGTTTGCATCTATTGGTAGGATATTGAATCAAGTTGAGTGATTCATTGATTCAACTTCTGAGTGCTTTGAAATGTTTGAAGAGCATTCAAGAATGATGGAAAGAATGAGGGTATCTGAGTTGACTTTGAGTGGCTATAATCACAGCACAACACAAAGTATTTACAAGTGCAGCTACCATTACAAAATTATAAGATTGTAGCACTGCACTAGAGTTGCACTAGTAGTTGAGCACTAGAACATAATTTACACTTGGTGATGTTAAGTTAATCCTCATATAAAGCAACAGTAGGTATGAACAAGTGAATGATAAATTGTACTATGATTATATTATTTTCTGCCACTAAAATATCCTTCACATAGCTATTGTTGCAAATAAAAATCAAAATATCTTTTCAGTAACTCATCTTTATTATTTATTTTCAATCTGGCTTTCTTGTGGAATTATTAGAATCATGATTAGATTTTAATTCCACCTTTTTACATATAACTCAAGGTGATGAAAATATCTAATACTCCTGCCTCCTATTTTCCCCACAACAACTCTGTGAAAAGCTCTTGGGCCGGGAAAGATTGACTGGCCCAAGGTACCCAACCAGCTTTCATGCCTGAGGCAGGCCTCAAACTCCTGCTTTCTATAGACCAAGCGCTTTAGCCCTACATCAAACTGCCAAATGGATACATTTAATAACTCTCTTCTTTTTTATTATAGCTCAGTGTATGTTTCTTATTTTCTTTCTCTGAAACAGCCGCCAAAATTGTAGGAAGAGATAATATCCCAGAGTGAAAACTAACAGCAGTTTATTTCATGTATCACTTAATTAATAGTCCCAGTGATGTAACTGTCTGCCAAATGCTTTTCCTCACAAGAAGCTTTAAAAAAATAAGCTGTTTTTAAACTATTCCCATTTAAGATAAAGCTTTCGGTGTTTGTGTATGTGTGTTTCTGAAGTAAAGTGTCTTTAAGAAAGAGACTGAACCATGTATAAAAAACCAAAGGAAGCAAAATTCTAAAACCAATCTATCTTTAGTAATGAAAACAGTAACAGGAAGATTGGAATTGCAACAGTGGCACTGGTTTCCAGTTTATCTGAGAACTGATTGTGGCATACTGTGGCATACAAATCTCTGGATGTCTTAGAATTAGGTAGTCTGCAAGTCCACTTTCTTAGTACAAGACCTGAAATATTATGTAGACTGGAAGTATGAAAAAAAGGCTATTAGTCATTCAATCTTTTCAGCAGTTTTCTATGTTACAAACAGACTTTGTTTCAGTTCAGTGTATGTGAATTTATAGGACTGTGTGTGTGTGAGAGAGAAAATGTTCTGGATGTATTTGGCAGAGGGAATCAATTAAGTTTATAAATGCTATTCATTTCACCAGCAATTATTTTTTATCAATTTTTAATTCAAACAATATTAATTGGTTATTTTTAACATTCTGGTGCTGCTCTTTAACTTAACTGGCCAGAAAGATAAGTAGGGTTGAGTTGGTTTATAGCTGTTTTCTATTTATCTTTATTTGCACCAATGAGTAATTCCTAATTGTGCCTGATGTGAATTTTTTATTCAAATAGGCATAGTATTAACACTGAGGATTCTTAGATATCTTTGTGTAATTAGACCCTATTTTCTTTCTGGGAGATATAGAGATAGTGATGACCAGCGGTACAGTGCACACAATTCATTAGACTAAATAGTCCATGAAGTTCTTGCTGTAGATATTAATTGAACATATTCACCCCTGGGTTAGTATCCTAGGACTGTTATTGTTCTACAGTGGTAAAATAGTCAGGTGCTATAGGCTATACTAAATGCAGTCTTTCATAATCTCTGGTTTAAAATGTGTCCTCTGAGCCACACAGATATTGAAAAGGTCAAAGGAAAGAGGAGAAGAGGGTCTCATACATGCCTTTTCCAAAAGGAAACTGGACTGTTTTTTTCTTGGGGAAGAAGAACAACACATTTCGTTTCTCATCCAAGAAACTTCATTAGTTGTGATGGGGGGGGGGGGAAGGGAGAGACAGAGGATGGGTTCTGACCAGATTTGGGGAGGGATAGTTGGATTGTATTTCTTTGCAGTCATCTGGTCTGTTAGTACTCTCTGTGAGGGTCTTGAGGCCCCTTGGGGGGGTTTATCCTTGCCCTCAGAGTGCAGTTGTGGAATCTTCTTGGCACTGCTACAAGAACTGCATTGTAGACTGGAGATAGGTGGTGTCTTATCCCTCCCCCTCTGTTGAGAGAATGCTGTTCTATATTAACATAAATGATCTTTTTTTACAGCTCTTTTAAACCAATAATAATACTACTACTAATAATAATAATAAAGTTGGAAGGGACCTTGGAGGTCATCAAGTCAACCCCCTGCTCAGGCAGGTAACCCTATACCATTTTGGACAAATGGCTGTCCAGTTTCTTCTTAAAAATTTCCAGTGTTGGAGCATTCACCACTTCTGGAGGCAGGTTTTTCCACTGGTTAATTGTTCTAACTGTCAGGAAGTTTCTCCTTAGTTCTAGGTTGCTTCTCTCCTTGATTAGTTTCCATCCGTTGTTCTTGTCCTGCCTTCAGGTGCTTTGGAAAATAGCTTGACTCCCTCTTCTTTGTGGCAGTCCCTGAGATATTGGAACACTGCTATCATGTCCCCCCTCGTCCTTCTCTTCGTTAAACTAGACATATCTAATTCCATCAACCTTTCCTTATATGTTTTAACCTCCAGTTCCCTAATCATCTTTGTTGCTCTTCTCTGTACTCTTTCTAGAATCTCAACATCTTTTTTACATTGTGGTGACCAAAACTGGATGCAGTATTCCAAGTGTGGCCTTATTGTAAAGTGGTATTAATACTTCATGTGATCTTGATTCTATCCCTCTGTTAATGCAGCCTAGCACTGTGTTGGCTTTTTTGGCAGCTGCAGCACACTGCTGGCTCATATTTAAGTGATTGTCCACTAGGACTCTGACATCCCTCTCACAGTTGCTACTATTGAGCAAGGTACCCCCTATACTGTACCTGTACATTTGGTTTTTCTTGCCTAAATTTAGAACCTTACTTTTTTCACCATTGAATTTCATTTTGTTAGATAGTGCCCAGTGTTCAAGTCTGTCAAGATCTTCCTGTATCTTAAGCCTGTCTTCTGGAGTGTTGGCTATTCCTGCCAGCTTGGTGTTGTCTGGAAATTTGATGAGTTTCCCATCTATCCCCTCATCCAAATCATTGATGAAGATGTTGAAGAGCACTGGGCCCAGAACAGAGCCCTGGGGCACCCCACTACACACTTCCCTCCATGTAGATGTGGTTCCACTGAGGATCCTCTTTATCCAAAATGTGGACTTTGCTGTCTATAAAAGAATGACCTTTGTCTTTCAATGCAGATGGACTGCTGAATGTTGTCCTGATAGGTTTGATCTCCTATATTGGCTATGTGCTTATGAAGTGGTTGTTTTGTTTCACCAATGATCTGCACATGTCTCGCTGCATTGTATTGCATATATCACATTGCTCAGTTTTTTGTGTCTGCCTTAGTGTTTTCTTGGGTTCAAGAAAACACTAAGTGTACATTTATCTTGTGTTGGTTGAAAATTTTTCTGAGCTTTTCAGATATTCCTTGAACATATGGAATGACAATGTTGCTATGTTCTTAAGGGGGGTTTTCTAGTTCTCAACCAGATGTTAATATTTAATGGGAAAGGAATTTTGTCCCTATCTGTTAAAATGGAGGATTTTTTTAAAGTATGAAGCAAGAGAAAGAATTGAAATCTCACAGGATTTTGTCTTCATTGAAGATTTCTAACTCCAACTCCTTGGACTGAGCAGGCCTGCCTTTAGGCTAGGGTTGGCTTGCTAGGGTATGTATAAAACTCAGTAATCATTTGTTGAATCAAGAGATTAGATTCAAATTGCTACTTTAAAGGTTAAAGTTTGACATACTTCAAATGCAACTTATATTAGACAGCAATAGTAATACAGGTTGTACTCATATTCTGAGTTCTCACATCTCCTCTAGAAACCCAACAAATTAAGTTTAAGAGACTGACTTTTTCAGCTGAATTCTGCTGAAAAGACTGATTCTAAAATGAAGATTAGTAATAAAAAGGAGTGTGTGTGTGTGTGTGTGTGTGAGAGAGAGAGAGAGAGAGAGAGAGAGAGAGAGAGAGAGAGAACTACTACTGGTACTTGGGCATTTTCTAGGTGAAGAATAATTCACGTTATAGATCTGCACCTTCCTTATACTCTAATGAAGACCTTCCATTTTACATGTTTGGGTAAATTATTGTTAGTGCCAAACAATAGCTTACTAATTGCCGAGCATTAACTATGGGTGTGACTAGATAATAATGTGATTGCTAGTTGTGTAAATTATTTTGAACCATTGTTAGTTGTAGATGTTACTGTATCTCTTTGGTTTTCAATCTGTGTGAGAAGAAGAGAGAACATACATATATTCCTTTAATTATGTCCCATGATAACAACTAGGATTAGAATCTCTGAGCTATTAAACATATGTCCTGTTAAGTACTTTCTGGTCTTGAATAATATACATTCATTCATGTTTCAGTTTTAATCCAATACATTCATTTTAGGCACCTTGAAGGATACTAGCAAATCTGACAACCTTCTTCTTTGGTTTGAATCCTGAAGTAAACAAATTCCACTCTGGGTGGAGCAGCTTTTTTCTATTTGAATCATTTTTATATAGCAGAATCAACACACTTTTGGCAAGTTAAAAACCCACTGAAAGGAAATATTTAGAAACTGATTTATTAACATACCAAAGTAGTTTGGCCTTAGACTGATGTCCCTCAACCAGGTTATATATAACTAACAAGAAAGTCAGTGAAGCCTCTGTCTAATCATTTCTCTGCTAATTTTTATTAATCGTTATAGTATAGTAATACCTCTAAATATCTTTATCATGCTGCTTGTTAATACAGTGTGGCAAGTCACATTTGCACCTGAAGAATATTCAGACTTACATGTTATCCAAAATGGCTTGCTGCTTCTATGTTCAGGTTGTGTGAAACAGCTTTCCTGTTAGACTTTTATCTATTACTATTTTAATAAAAAAAAGAATTACAATGCCATTACATCTTGATAGGCCTTCTGGATGTAAAATGCATTTAAGACATTTATGCAATTGATTTTCACTTCATGTCCAGACAATATATATATAGGAGTGCATATATACTGTCCTTAAAAATGGCTAGCAGTTTATAAAGACAGGCTTGTTACATGTGCTATCCTTTTTTTGCATATGATTTTTAAAATGTTGGATATAGCCAACTATGAAGAAAGAAATTCTGCAAAACTGTCATAGAAAATTTAATTTTGGCTTATTAAACCAGAGTTAAAATTTCCAGTTTGGATAGACCAGATAATTAGAAGAATGTATGTATGTATATATCAGATTTTGAAGTAGTAGGATTTCAATATACAACTGTGTTAAAAAACCTAATTTTTAGAGAGGAAGTCCATAAGTGGGAAGAGCTGCTTAAAACTGAATACTGCCCACATGGAAAATGAGCTACGTTTGCAAGTCTCTAAAAAGCTTAATCCTAAATAAAAAGTTGAGCAGAAAACAAAAATTACAAATATATATTTATAAATGGCAGAATCAAAGGATTCTATCTTTTCCTAGCCAAATTCAAAAGTTACTTCCCTGCTTTGTTACTTTAATTAAAACAGTCAACCTTTGTTTCATTTCTTGAGATTTTTGGAAAGTACTAAACAGTCTATAAAAGATTAAAATATCCAGTTAAAATAGACAATGTTATTTATTTATTTGTTAAATTTATATCCAAGTTTTGCTCATGAGCTCAAGTCAGCATATGTTTATTATATTATTACATAAGATAATTATGCTGAAACAATGCAGTGCAGCAAGAGTCATATCAATACGAAAACCAATGGCATATCTGGTACTGCTCCTATTTTTCCTGTAATTGCAGTTCTGTGAGATAGGTTGGGCAAAGATAGAATTCACCCAATGAGTTTTTGCAGCTGAGAAAAGATGAGTCTTTCTGGTACAAGTTCAGAACATTAGCAATAGCAATAGCGCTTAGACTTCACAGTGCTTTATAGTTCTCTCTAAGTGGTTTACGAAGTCAGCATATTACCCCCAACAATCTGGGTCCACATTTTACTGGCCTTAGAAAGATGGAAGGCTGAGTCAACCTTGAGCTTGGTGAGATTCGAACTCCTGGCAGTTGGCAGAATTAGCCTATAATACTGTATTCTAACCACTGTGCCACCACGGCATTAACTATAACACCGTATGGCTGTCACTATACTTTTTTTTTTCTTTCACACATACCTTTTCCACAAAATATAAAAGCAACACTAAATTGGTTGTGTTTTTCATCAATAATACCATAAAGCCATTTATTAATAAAATACTCATTTTTATTCCTTTGCTCATGAAGAAAGTGGAAAGGAGAGTGCAGAGTAGGCTATACTAAGGACTTTTCTGCACTTCTTACCTGTGCTTCTCTGTCATTTATCCTCCTCCAAAAGTCCAGCAGTGAATGAATGGCAGCTTCAAGCAGGCTGAGTATCAATTTCAGCACTGTTCCCTTTCAGATGTCTATATAGACTAAAGAATGAAGTGTTTGGAACCTATATTTATAGAATGGAAAGCACCACTTTACATTCTATAAATAGAGGGGAATCTCATTTATGGACACATACATCCACACTTTCAGTTATTTAACTAAATAATTAAACCCATCCCTTTCACAATTTAGAAACAAAATATTGAGGAAAATCCACATTCATCTTTTGATTTTTCCTCTTTTTCCATCAGCTACCCAATTAAAAGTCACATTTTATTGTTGCTAGGAATATATAAAACTAAGATCCAGGAATGATTTGGTTTTAAAAATGTATAACAACTTATTTGGAATTTGAACCTATGGCTTTAATTTGAGCCCTGGTAGTGATAGAAACCATGTTCCCCAATGGAAATCACCCTCAGAAAGTTCCTGTTAAACACAGGAGGGTACAAGGAGCTTCACAATACAGGCAAACATGCTTTGTTCTTGTGAAGAACTTTTCCCCATGTAAAATGATAGCAAGAAGAGTGGTGTCAATATGAGGCAAACACCAAATATGCTTCCTCTGTTGCTGTATCCAATCAGAAACAGATGCTATCTTGAAGCTTTTGTGTTTAGTGATTTTGCTTTTTAAAATTCAAATCATGATTCTCTACTGACCAGTATAGGTAAGCTAAGTATCTCATATTTTATGTTGCAAATAGCAGTTTTCTTAATAATTTTATTTGTTTCTTTGTTGAAGGTATTAAGCTACTTAAAGAAGATGAAGAAACTGTAATTGCTGAAGATGAAGAAAAGGAGGCAGAAATATCACCATTTTAGGTTCCATCCAAATTGTCATAGTTTTGTAAATAACTCATTACAAAGTCTTTATAAAAATGAATAAACTCCATGCAGCATTTTATAAATATTGCTGCTGAGTCATAGTTTATTAAATATGGATGTGGCTCATGTTTTTTCTAGAGTATTATGTCCTTTCCATCAAAACAAACTTCATTGTCTTGTTAATATTTAAGGTAATCAAAAAGCAAAATCCATTAGGCAGCCACAAATTTCTTGAAAACAGTAGAAAACTGACTAAAATAGATTATACCGAGTCTCTCCCTCTCAGTCCTTTTTATTAAACACTCATGGATTTATTTTGCCATATTTCAGAATTATTTTGTAACAGAGTAAAAGTGACCTTCTTTATTACTATTTTACTTCAAAACATTTTTCTCATATACAGTAATCATTATCTCAGTATTTGTTTGCAATGTTTTTCTTCTCCCTTTTCTTATTTGATTCTGCTCCTGATCATTCAAGAGTACTTAGGCCTCTATCTACAAATTACACAATTGCAGGAACAATAGTTTCCTCATAGTCTCCTAAAAATCATGACTGGTAGAATTGAATTCCAATATCCATCACATATATTGGTAGATACACATGGCCCTCATGCACACATCCCCAACCTATATATGAGATATTCTCTATACCAATATTCAACCCAATTAGCTTTTTATACTTTTGTAACATAATTCATTTTCACTGATAAGAAAAATCAGAAATCAAAAGATTATGCACAAGATAATCATAGCTAAGGTACTTTTTATTTTACTCACAGAATCTGCATGGTTTACAATATTCTGTTGCAGCCTTTACCTTCTGCTAAAATGTGGATCACTTTCTGTCAACAGTTATATTTTGTACATTATTCATGTAAATTGTGCCCAGAATTTCTAATTCACTGAACTTCAACTCTCATATAAATACTTGGCAGTCTGATACATCCAAAGGAACTAGAAGATTGATCTATATGAAGATGCTTATCTGTCATTTCTTGCCTGTTTTATAAGGGATATGAATGGATGAAAGCTTGAGATCAATTGTCACAGATCTCATTTATCACCTTGGATTTGGAAGTGACTTAAGAGATGAGGATCTTGCTTGCTATTTCATAAAACATAACCTCCTTGGAGTTAAATGAGAATGATATCTCTATTGACTATTTATACTGAAGTTTGCACCATTTACAGACTACTACCAATGGCAAAGCAAGTCCATAGCTGTTAATGTTAATCATGTATTGCAGTTAAAGGATGATGCTTGTCTGTTAGCTTCATTTGTACAAACGATTTGCATTGCATTTTTCCCCATTAGCAAATAAGGATGTAATGCAACCTTATGCAATCCATTTTCACAAATTTCATATTAGAAAATGCTGTGCCATCTGTAAAGGAGCTTTCTAGAAATAAAGTGCCTGTAGTGTACATATGCTATGTAATGTACTAAAATACTAGAATATAAATTGTCTGAGTAGATAATTCTTGTAATCTTCAGATGTGCTTTTCTAATTAACAGGTGTTCACTTTATTTGCTTTTTAGCTTAGTGCCATGACTTATCCAAGTCAAATATACCCTATTATACATGTCATATATCAATGTACTATGCCTCTTTGATTGCCTTTCTTGCATAACATATTACCTGAAATGTGGCAATACTATGGCTTTATCTATGATTACTCAAGATATATAGGAGATTCTAAACAATGCAAATTCAAATAATTTTTTAAAAATCCATCTTCTATTTCAGAAGCTATTTAATGCTATTTGGTTTCCTATGTGTGGACGGCACTAAATTATTGACAATCTTCTTAATGTCATAAGAAATTCCTTTCCCACTCACTGTAAACATCCGTGAGTCTGAAACCGAGTTAAAAGTCAAATAGAAAAGTTATTGTATTCCTCCAAAAAGGCATATGGTGAAATAAAAAACAAGCAACACACATTTCAGAAGCACCTTTTTTCCTGTCTTCCCATTGGATATGTATTTTTAACATGATAATTTATTTCTGGGAAATACAGGACACTTATACTAATTAAGTTATTGATTTTTGCAGTATGGTTGTCACCCTTGCCAACCGACTGGATAGAGACTATTATCATTAAAACGGGAAAAGCATGATTATGTTTGATTTAAAAGAGGAGAAAGGAGGAAGAAAAACAGGGACCAGAATCTATATGGCATAATAAAAGATAGTATGAATGTGTTGTGAAAAGATCCTAATCTGACCAATTTTAGTCTTTGAACTCTAGATGATCTCCTATAAACAATTTCCTAAGGTAATTTATAGAGCTTTAAATTCCTGTTAATCCATGTTTCTTCTTTATGCAAATAAAGCAAATCTGGAATTTATTTCTTTTCTTATACTCTACCAAAAAGTTGTTTTCCTGTCTTTCTTGGTTTCTCGTGTGTTATTTTTAAAAAAGGACAAAGGAAGCCATAGCTCCTAACCAACATACACATAATGCAATGACTGTATTTATATTATTCCTGAAAATGCGGTTGTATTTTGATCTATTCGACAAGAATAACATGTAACTTAATAAATGTATTGAATTAATAGTCTTCTTGGATATTGTTTCTTGGGCACAGGTTAAAATGGACAGGCGGTATAATGTTGAAACAACACTAATCTAATTGGTCAGATTTTTCTTTGCTTTTTTATTGTATTTTCATGTTTGCTATTTTTCAAACTGAATTACTTCATTCAGAGAAGAGGAGGAGGGGGGGAAGGAGGAGGAGGAGGAGGACAAAGTGACGTAAATAGCAACATGTTGGTAATTAGGGATTTGCTCTGTAACTCTATTTTGTCTTTCACTCTGTTGCTTTTGTATAAGAGTATTAACTAGGTTGTCTTTTCTACCTTTGTTCCTCATACAAAATGATTTTGGTAACTTAATACAAGCTTTAGTTTTACACTTGAACACAGGCAATGATATATTAAATCTTAAACTTAGATCAAAGGAAAAATATTTTCTGACTTTTCAAATCAAAAACAAAGCTTGCAAAAAGTTTGATTTTTTTTTCAAAATTTCATGATCTTACATAATTTCCAGTTTTATTTTTAAACTGTTGTTAAAAATAATGTTTGATTTCTCCTATTTTCTGTTTCCAGAAAATTAAGATACATTTTCAGGTTCATAACTTAAAGGATTACTTAATGTATAGCATATATTGTGGTTGATAAATGCATTCTTAATTATAATGTGTACAATAAAAAGTAAAACAACAACAAAAAATGATGATAGTATTTATTTCAGTTGAGCACTAGGCGGTAGCACTCTGCTATTCTACCAGATACCCTAATAAAAATAGTTGTCTATTCTAATATAAGGACTTGCTTCCAAAGTCTAAATGTACAAAACCCTATAACCTGGAAGCCTGGTCCAGAATAAATAAATAAGTGGCAATAGGAAAATGAGCAGTCCTATACATTAAATTCATTCTGAAAGAATAGAATATTTTATTTTATACAAGCATTTATGCAAATAACCTAATGGCACAATCAATACATGGTCAAAATATATTTTCTCTTTGAGTTACGAAATTCTTAGAGCAAATAGCATCCCTCCCTACCATATTCCAAAAATGACAAGCCTTTGTTTGACCTAAGATGGTAAAGCAATCTGTAAACTACCAAACCAGATAATGCAGGAAAGCATTTTCAACATATGGAGTAATTTCTCCGAATATATGTATGTGATCTGCCTATGCATGTGCTGAATTTCAATGCCCAGGTGTTACAGGCATTGTAAATCATTAGACAAATAAAAATGTCCCATCATTTAGCAGAGCAGAGTAGGTAACTCAGGTACAGATAGTCCTCACTTACAACAAATCATTTGAAGACCACACTGAAAAAAGTGACTTATGACCATTTTTTCACACTTACAACTGTTGCAGCATCCTCTGGTCACATGATCAGAATTCAGATGCTTGGTAACTGACTCATAGTTACGATGGTTTCAGTGTCCCAGAGCCATGGGATCACCTTTTGTAAACCTCTGACAGCAAAGTCAATGGGAGAGCCAGGTTCACTTAACAACCATGTTACTAACTTTACAACAGAGATGATTATATAACCACTGTGGCAAGAAAGGCCATAAAATGAGGCAAAACTCACTTAACAAATGTGTCAGTTAGCAATTGAAATTTTGAGCTCGGCTGTGGTCATAAGTTGATGACTACTGTAACTCAGGGTATCAAACTGCTGGTCCGCAGGCCGGATGCGTCACGCCAAAACCGCACCCACCCCATTGCCAGCAATGGAGAAAAAAGTCATGATACATCGTGACACATCACATGATGTTGCAAGTTTGACACCCGTGCTGTAGCTGATTTAAAATGTAGTGGAAGGAAGCCAATAGGCATTTTTACACTGATTAATGCAAAAATTTTATTTTTATGGATGGCTGTTTGTACAGCCTGAAAGATTTGCTTATCCCTCATCTTTTTTTCCCATCAAAACTAAAATTGACATGCAGGAAAAGATTCATCAATGTTTATGATCAGTGAGATTCACCAACGTTTATGATCAAATAAACTTAAGCAGTGATCAAATTAATGGTTTTCCCATTTCTATTGTGAATGCATAGTGTGATTAAATATAATGTTGAGGAAAATGTTATCACAAAGACATTGGCCTAAAGAAAAGGATTCTTCACTTTACCCTACATGTGTTGTCTTCTAATTTCTAGGACAATGTACTGTAGAGTAAGTGTGATATTATGGTTAAAACGGTAGACTGTGAGTGGAGAGACTGATATTCAAGTCCACACTTAGCCATAGAAATCTATTGAATGATTCTGCCAGCCAATGTACTTCACAGGATTGTTCTTATGGGGATAGAATGCATGGAGATCTCATGAAAGTCACCTTGAGCTCTTGAAGGAAAGGTGGGAGATAAATCAGACAAATAAATACCACACAAACACACACACACACACACACACACACACACACACACACACATACACAAGTCAGAAAGAAAGACCATTAAGAGACAAAGTTAAGTAATGAAATGGAGGTGGAATTCAAAAGGAGTTCCATTTTTTTCAAGAAAAATTATATTTGCAAGAGTCTGGGGAAACTAGATGTTTGGAAGCTACATATATGGAAACCAGTAGTGATGTACTGTGAAGATTATGTGTTAGATAAACTTGGCATACAAGTTGACTGGGTAACTTGGGTTAATCACCTTTTCTTATCTCCAATCTGCAGCTAAAAAAAAAAAACTAGCTATCAATTTATGTTGGATCAACATTGTAGTTATCATCATCATCATCATTATCATCAACATTATTCATCATCCTGTACATTATTATTCATGTTTAACCTGCAATCCATTCCCAATATCAAAACCTTCCATAAAGTTGAATTCAAATACTCTTGCCAAATAAGTTACATATTGGCATGACAGACCATGCCATTCATCTATTAGGAGACAGAAAGCAGAAACAGTCAACCTGCATATAGTCATAAAGCACATGCAAATTTTCAGTCTTTTATATAGACATAGGTAAGAATTTTCTGCTGCTGCATCTGAAGCATTTTTTATGAATCAGAGAGAACTAAGGAGATTGCTTCCATTATATTTGTTTAATTGCATACTTGCTTGTTGCCTGAATAATCTGTATAATTTTCTAAGTGTCCTTCATTTATAAGTAGAAATCTGGCCTATTTCCTATTCCAATGCTCAGAGATATGCTGAATCTTCTTCATTCTGCCCCTCTGGTCAAGCAGTTTGTATTTCACCAAGTAGTCCTCAGTTTTCTTCTGGAAAGGTGGGAAGGTAGTATTTGCAGAGACAAAATTAGATTTCTTGGACTGATGTATTGCAGGTTTGATAACTACAGCAGAAGATAAAAACAGAAGTAATGGAAATAAATCAGCTGCTGAGTCCTATTAATCCCTATTATACTATTCCTCAGCTACATTGTAGATCATATTTGAGAAAGTAAGAAGCAGATATTTCCATATACTGGGCAGAAGGAGGAAAATGAGGATAAAAGAGGATACAAATGGAGAAAAGCTTAGGTGCATAGCTACTGTAGTAGTTATTTATCTTAGAATATTTCTAAATTTCCAAATCTAACCCTTCTTAATATTTGCACTAAACCCATAAACTGTGCTACAGAAGTACAGATATGTGTATTGACATACAAAAGTAACAGAATCTTGATTGTGTTTATCATGAGAGCAGTGAACACCCACATTAGATCAAGACCTTGGATAGTTATTCTATAAATGTGAAACAAGTCTGGGGGCCATGAAGAGGACTCTGCATTGCTTGATCACCTACAGTCTTAAGTCACATTCCCTAAGATGTTGCACCACTTTGTTTGACTGAGGTACAGTTCTTAGCCCATGTAAAAGTCACCTTTGTCAAATCTCAGACAACTGGCAGGCTGATGCAAGGTCTTTTCTGAGTTAAAGGATTACCCAAGTTGGCCTTAAGTGTCAGCATAACAACTGGTCTCTCTTATTACCAGGTCCAGTCCTGCTGGGCGGTGTCACTGTCAAGTGACATTGTTTGGATTCATTAGTGTACCCATTATGATGGGAAATCATTTCTCCTCTGATTTCACTGCCATCTCAGCTTAACAAGTTACCAGGCAACAGTGAAAATATCCTCTAATCAGGACACAGTAATAGGGATCAGAAGATCCACGATATGGCTTATTTTCACTACACTGATATAACTGCTCCTTGTCTCACATCCCTTTTGGGCATTTCTCCAGAAAGACCAGGGCAGAAATAGCCAAGAGAAAAGGGACTGCACACCCAGCTTGGTGTGAGAAAGTGGAAGAACTGATGGTCTGGTGGGGTTAATAACTGACAGGTACAAGGAAAATAATGAAGAAATGCTATGCGGTGTTGCAGATTTGAGCATAATATAGCAACTGTCTGCAAATCTTTAATGCATCAGCATAAAGGACAAGTGGAAAAGATGCTATTTATTTTAAGAATTGCCAATAGGCCTGTGTGGGCCCACTCATGTGCAACAAAACACTTTTTGAAGCACTGCATAATATTAGAAATAAGAAAAAAAATCCTCTTCTTCTTTACATGAAATAGTAGAGGATAATTCTTCTGTCTACAACTATGTTAGAAGCCAGGAAATAATCTATGTGAAAAACAGAAAGGAGAAAAATCTGAAAGGGATTTAGGAAATGAAGTGCTAATGAAGAGGACCAAGCCTTGGAGAGAAGCACCTAGACTATTTGAGCTGGGCACTGAACTGAAGAGGATTGTGTCTGCAGCTGCCAACATCCCAGAAATAAACTGTAATCACACTCTGGTTAGATGACATCACTTCCAAGGAAATTCATGGTTTTATAATAAGTACAATACTAAAACTGGAGAGCTTATACTACTTGAGGCTGTCTTGGAATTGGTAAAAGTTATTCTTATACTTTCACAACAAATGATGTCTTAAACACATGAACTGAAGATAAGACAAGGATAACACCATAAGGAGAAAAATTCTGTTGTCAAAGCATAACTATGCTATGGGGATAAGGCCACAGGTTGTTCTTAATGTTTCTGATTATAATAAATGAATTTCAAATCTTCAGCAGCCATCAGTTCAGAATATACATTCCCACAATTGGATTTTCCCATCTCCCAATAAAAGATCCTCTGGGAGGATCCTCTGGGAGACTCTAACAGAAGCACATTTGAGTTTTTCCTGCCAACTAGTAGAACCATTGGAGAAATGCCTTACTTGCACCTCAGAAATAACATTAAGGCGAAGAAGAATACCATCCATCCATCCATCCATCCATCCATCCATCTATCCACTGGCAAAAGAAAGAACAGATGCAGGAATGTTACTTTTTCTTGCTCTCTAGAAATAATGGGGAGAAATTTACTGGCCCACATTCTTGGCAAGAAAGAAAGTAAGTTGATTTAGAATGCTTTTTCCCAAAAGATCATCCTTACCAAAAGTGTGATGGCCAAAAGAATTGGCCAAAAAAAGGAAAAAGCATGTTCCAGTCCTGTTCTCTCAGACTTGGAAAGCAGACAATGGCAAACATTGTCACAAAAAGTACAGGGACTTGTTCAGACAGTCACCAGGAATCAAGGCTGACTTGAATCCTCCCCCTCCCCCAATAAGCACTTACAACTAACCATTAGGTAAGACTGTAAAAAAGAACTAGTTTTCCTGATTCTCCCTTCCCAATAATTTTGTTTTGTTTTATTTTTAGTAAAACGGTATGCCTGGGTTACTTAGTTAGTTAGTTTGTTTGTTTGTTTGTTTCGCCACCTGAGAAACCTGAGATTTGAGACCTACTTGAGATATTCCTGAGAGAAATAATTGCATAATAGAGGATAAAAATATACGAAATAAACAAGTAAATAAATATAAAAACTAGCAATACCAAAGTCTAACATTGTTTGGAGAAGTGTTGGACATATTTAAAAAAAAATTCTTTAAAAGTTCCTAATTAGCTGTAAAAGAAAGGGTAAATACAGTATGATTGGGTACCAAGAGGTTTATTAATTTGTATATTTTGTGAAATTCAGTGGAGCATATGAGCTGCTGCCAGAACACAAGTACTGTATGTATTAATTAAAACCTGGGCATATTTCTCACTAAACTCTACCACTTCAAAACATTCACTGTGATGAATTAGCTACTTTAAACTGGCATACAAAATGTTATATTGCTTTTTTTCCCCTGTGAGTTTAGCTCTATAGAAGATTGGGGAACCTATAGAA